ACATCAAAAGAAAAACGGCCTAAGCGTCCCACTCGTTAGTTTGAAGTATTTCCGTAGCATTAGAGCCGGGTTCGAGCCGGATCGCAGAAATGCACACGCGATTTTAATTTATTGCGTTTCCTTAGTTTTTTCAATTTTGTTTTATTTACATCTACATTCGTTGTTCTTCATTTCTAGCCTTTGTCATCTTCATCACCTTCTATTCGGACTTTGAAGCATGAGCAATACCTCAAATGTTAGGAAATTGCGTTTTGCTTGTATTGTCATGTTGTCCGTTTTTATTGTCATGTTCTGTGGGAATGCCTCTGAGGGATATTGCAGAAGCAGCACAGTTGCTCTTGAGTTCTAGCCCTCGTCATCATCTTCGGTTCTTATTTTGCAGCACCTAAAATGTTATCCGCATAAAGAAATTGCGTTGTACTTGTATTCCAAAGCACAATTACAGGAAAAGCGATTTCTATAGCAGTGTTATAGAGCACGAAATTTGCTATCAGAACATGCAAAACATATCAGCGAAACATTCAAATATTAGCATAAAATTTCAGGTGGAACAGACGTGAGCTGCCCAATATCGGCGAGGTGAAGGTTGGTAACTTCAAAATTCTTGAAATTCGTTCCAAAGCGTCCTATTCCTTGCTGAGACTTCTAGCTCAACCTTTTCCAAATGTATGGAGCAGCTTAAGCGATTTTAGCACTTCGAGTAGACGTAAATAGAGGCAGTTGTCGAAGGTGCTAATTTTCGCCGACTTCGCTTTCAACTTCAACGACTAAAAAATCCACAAAAATTATTCCCTCAACCGAAGCCGTTTTGATATTCTAAAACTACGTGAAGTTTCCTATCAGATGATATCAAGCTTGCTAGCAAAACATTTCATCTTTGGAACGAAATTTCCGGTTGAAAAAAAACGAAAGTACTTATGTGCCAACCCAATACCTTCGACAGGTGCCTCTATTTACGTCTACTCGAAGTGCTAAAATCGCTTAAGCTGCTCCATACATTTGGAAAAGGTTGAGCTAGAAGTCTCAGCAAGGGAATCTCAATAGGACGCTTTGGAACTAATTTCAAGAATTTCAAAGTTGGCAACCTTCACCTCGCCGATATTGGGCAGGCTCACGTCTGTTCCACCTGAAATTTTATGCTAATAGTTGAATGTTCGCTGATATGTTTTGCATGTTCTGATAGCAAATTTCGTGCTCTATAACACTGCAATGGAAATCTGTTCTCCAGAGCTGTTTACTTTCTGTTAATTTCAGGTTATCATTACGGAACGTGAGGTCGATGAGAATTAGCGTTTTCCTCTCCCTACCGCTGTCCACGGAAGCTTCAAAGCTCCTGGAGCAGCTCAATAGATTCGCCATGGTTTGAGTAAAGCATTGAGTAACAGATTAATATTAGGACGGCTCACAATTGATTTTGAGAAAAGCAAAACCGACAACGCTGACCTTGCAGACATCCGGTCGACCCATACCTCACGATTTTTTTTGTTTTCCTGATTAAATTTCAAACACAATATTTACAACACTATAAAAAATATAGATGTTTACAATAAACTAGTCAATAATATACTCCATTGTTTCTTACAACCTCCTCCCACCGATCAGCCAGCTTTTCAATGCCTTCTCGGTAACTGAGGTGGCTGATCGGTGGGAGGAGGTTGCAAGAAACATTGGAGAATATATTATTGACTAGTTTA